GTGTTCACGGTTGTTCATTTTTGTTCAAATTGTGTTCATGGTTTATTTGTGTTCAAATTGATCAATACCGAAAATTGTTACTACCGTATTTTTTATACGATTTAGGAATTCATACAAGAATGAACATGAAAGATCAATAGTAAAATAATAATAATAATAATATGAATGCATATTTTTTGGGATTTGATTGTTTGAAACTCCTCATTAATTGTTTGGGGGTTACAAATGAATTCAATTAACTAGAATATCCTTGATAAGTGTATTTTTCTTCCCAAAATGCCCCTTTCATCATTGTTCACTAGACCTCATTAAAATTCAAACTTTAATATTTAATTTTTTTTATTGATTAATTTTAACTGTTGATTATAGATTTGAATGGCCAAGATCAATTAATAAGGTTAATACAAAAATGATGGTTAACATTTGATCTTGGCCCTATATATATATAAGAGCGATCAAATGAAAACCACCATCATTTGTACAAACCACCCTCATATGTCGATTTCATTGTTTAATCTTATGAAATTTTTTTATGAAATTGTTTAATTTTGTGAAATTGTTTCGTATAATATTTTTTTTGATGAATTTGTTTCATATATGGTTATGAAATTTTAATTAAACTGTTTCATATATTTCTTTAAAATTAAAATAATGAAGATGATAATATCTATGATTAACACCCTCCAAGATAAAAATGGTTAATCAACCTCTCATAATTATAAAAAAATAAACAAAATGAAAAATTATGATTGGTTGAATGTGGTTTTCACGGTTTGTACAAATTGGGTGATTTTTATTTGAATGCTCCTATGTATGTATGTATATATATATATATACATATATATATATATATATATATATAGGATTGTAATCAAAGGAGAATCATAAAAAACTTGAGAACTGTGAAAACCGATCTAAGCCCTAATTTGTTTTGGTCCTATGGTTTTAGTTGAAAGCCTTTTTTAATTAGAAAAAGGGCAAAGAAAAAGGGCATAATCGTTATTTTGGTAATAGAGATTCACCCAATGGAACACACTCACCAGATCAAGCACATACTCATCAAACTATTTTACCTCATGAAATAAAACACAAGTTTCATAAAAATATGCTATTTCACCTTATGAAATCCAAACATAATCTTCATATTATGTTATTTCACCACAAGAAATCAAACACAATTGTTATTTTATTTCACACCATTAAATCAAACACAATTTCAGTCTACATGTTATTTCATCTCATGAAATCAAAGAAAATTTCAATCTACATGTTATTTTATCACATGAAATCAAACACAATTTCAGTCTACATGTTATTTCATCACATGAAATCAAAAACGATTTCAATCTACATGTTATGTCACCTCATGAAATCAAACGACACCAATTCTCGATGCACTTGAAGGACGTCTTCATGGATCAATTCAACCTGAAAATACTTCTTTTCTTTCATGAGGAATTCATGTTCCACCCCCTCAAATGATTTTACGCACCTAAATGGTTTGAAACTTAAAAAATCAACTTCATCATATATAACGTAATCAAATTCGAGTATCCCCATGTAAATTAGGCAAAGATTGGAGATAAAGAGCAGAATTAGACCTTATTGCACCATCGATGATGATGTGATGATTGCAAAGACGTAGATACAACTCTTTCTTTGAACTAGACCTTACTAGGACTTGTCAGCACCACCGCCAGCGTCACCGCCTCCGCCTCCGCCAAAATCTTCTGTAATTCGGTGGCAGGAATTTCATCCACACGACATCCCATTCCACCGCTGATCGAAAAATAGAACACACCAACGATAACCTACACACATCCCTAGGACTCGTCAGTGTCAACACGTTTGCTACGAACCATTGGGCAATGATCCGGAGAAATTCTCCTGAAAACTGTTAAAATTAAGTTAGACATTAAAATATTAAGTTAGTTATCTGACAGTTAAAGGTAGTTACTATTAGTGAATAGATGTGTC